ATCTCAGATACTATTATAGAGTATTAAATGCTATGGTGATAAACAATTTTATTAAAGTGCAATATTGCATTCGTGTTTCTTTTTTTATAAACTTTATTTCAACAGACTATTTACAGAAAAGAATAAAAACAGCACTTCATTCACCTAATTATTTCTTTTCTTATATGTCTTAAAAGCAACAAAAAAAAATTCATAAAAACTTGCATAAAAAATTTTTTAAAAACTTACTAAATATTCGTATCCATCGTACTCTCTACTCTACCTTCTCTAACCAACTGTTTCGATTCTGTTAATATTTTAATATTTTGTTAATATTTTGTTATTAACAATTCCTAAGAATGAAATTAGCATAAAATATCTAATTTCTCAATAATGCCTATGTGATAGTTTGCCTTCCTTTGCTGCGCCTATAAATGTTTTATACATTCAATGAAAACTTAATTAACAATAGAAATGGCATTGTATGTCATATGATTAATGTCAGACGTAATAAATATATAATAATTATTATTTTCTTACGTTTTTTTACATTAATGTGAATATTGTGAGAATTTTTAATTTAAAATACAATATTACCATCATATAGATTTCCTACAAGTTTTGTAATAAATATTATGTTCCAAGTAATTTTAATTGACAATAGAGAATTTATTATGTATATTAAATTTTTAATTTATATTTTTAATTAAAACTATATCGCTAATAATATTGGCTTTTTCAAAATTATATGAATTCAAAATATAATAATGAATACAGGCTGTTAATTTAATGCCGTTTAAAAAAAAATATGGATAATATTGCGTCACTTAGACGCAAAAAATTCATTTTTCTATTTTTGACTTTAATAGGTATTAATATATTTAAATAAGAATTTTAAGGCCAAAAAATAAAGAAATTTGCCTACTTTGATAAAAACAATAATAATCATTTATAATTCAAAGCATGAGTTTCTAGCAAATAATTGAATAAATATACAAGAATAGCGAAATTGAATGTTTAATAATAAATATAAATTTAGAAAAATATATCAACTCCTATTGATATTAGAGATTATATTTAAAAATTAACGTATAGATGTACGACTACACAATTAGCCATCGTTTTCTATAAGCATTGACATTTACATTGATGCGAATTGAATAAAAAATAAGTTTCACGAATAATAAATATATGGCTAGAAGCGCGAATAAGAAACAAAAAATAGTGAGAATAATTTTTTTAGAATACAAATGCATAACTATTTATGTGATCTATATTTATAATGATTAATAATTATTAAAAATATAATACTATTTGAAATTGTAAAAATTTCATTTTAAGAAAAATATGGTATAAGACCAATGTCTCGGCTGGATTAGAAAATATTTATTCTAAATAACCTATAATTAACATAATATTTTAATAAAAGAAATTATTTATATTTTAGAATTCAATAAAGAATTTTGATAATTAAATAATAAAAAACGACAAAGCTTGTATTGCTAATTCATTCAACTACGAATATGTAATAATTATTATATTATAACCAGGCATATTTATAAATGTTATAAATATGTCTGTAATAGAAATGTTAGAGCACGTTCGAATAAATAATCTGAGCGTGAATGTTTTAAATTTCATTGATAAGCATCATTATACATTGTATACGAGTTTTCCTTTCATTTTATACATACAGTTTTTCTCCCACAATATGGAAAACTACCTACTACTAATTAGAAAGCAACGACAAAGGTTCACATAATTAATGATAAGCACCAATAGCAGCACTGCCTGGTTAGGGAAATAATTTTATTTCTTTAACTCTTATATTTTAAATCTATAGCGTCCTGCTATCGTCATAATATCGTGATAAATTGTCTTTTATAACCGATTGCTGTATCGATTATAAATTGATTGTTCCGATTGAAATAAAAGGATTTATTTAAAAACCTAAGTGTAAAAAGAAAATGTTTATTTATTTTTTAAACAAATTTAACCAAAATCTCATACACTTATACGAGGCAATTAGTAAATGTAATTGTGACTTACTTTTTTAATGGATATCTTAAGTCAGTGGTAGAACTTTGATTATTGTTTATTTAGTGACGAGGTAATTAAAACATTTATGTTGTATTAAAAATATGAGAATATTTAAATTGATGTTATAAATGCATTATGAATATATTTTACTACACACACGCGCGCGCGCACACACACATGCATTGGGATTTGTATTTTATATTGATCTTGCAATACTCTATTATTACAATTTTTAATTGAAATTTTTTTTATCCTTTACAATAACACGTTGACAATACTAATATTCTCTCATCTTTCGAATTATATAACATCAGCTCCGATTACTTTTTAACGATTACTCGAGAGATAGTTAATTCAACATTTTCCTAATGAGCAGGAAACTAATTACGGTATTAGAGAAGTAACAATTGAAATGCGACGAGAATTGCTCATGGCAAAGATTAAAATCCCCTTCCAACAAAATGCACTTATCTGTGTTTCATAATGTTTATGGTTTCCCACTGCCTCGATACTTCATGTAATATAATAAATATATAGTTAAAAATTTTCATTCTTTATCTCGATGAAAGAATGAAAATTAAAAATGTTTCCAACTTTAACACGGAGATATTTTATACACTGCATACTTTCTTTTACATAAATGCACAAGTTCGAAAAGCAGAACGAACTGTCATTGTAACTCTCTTGGCGGGAATTTTCAATGTCTCGACGAAATATTAACTGACATAAGAAATGAACCAATCGATATACTAAAACATAACCTCATCTAATGCATTATAAGGGATCGTATGAAAGTTGATGACGATAATAACAAAATAATAACATAATAGATTTATGCACTCACCTAATAAAGAATATATTAATACGTGTGATAGGCGTTGGAAATACGTAACTAGGATAACAAAATATACAGCAAAACATATAGCACAACGACAAGCTATCACGACATTTTGTTCGTATTCCTCGTACCTCCTATTAATATATCGATACGCGAAACTTCGTCTTCACTCGGTAAAATCGTATTTTCTCTCAATGCGCTTTCAACAAAGTATCACATAACCTCTGCAAAATCCAGCTACGTAAACTTCGCACTTGACTTGGCCCACCAACACTCATACTCGTGCTCTTTTTCCTTCACCAAATGTCGATCGCTCTTACTCTCTTACCCTATATTTTTCTCCCTATCCTTTCCACTCGACTAGCCCGTTCGCGTCTTCTGCGCTTTTATGCTCGAACCAAAAATTTCAATATCACGAAAATTGCCACGAAAATTGTCACGAATATTGCCACGAAAATTAGGTCAATTCCCTAAGTGATAATGAAATTATAACTATTTAATTTGCGCTATATATAAATGTCATTTGTATAAATTTATCATCATTATCTTTTTTAATGACGATCATTTAATGAAACTAATAATAATAAGACAGACACCAAATACAATTAATTAAAAGAATAAAAGAAAATTTTTTGTTTAAATTTTTCAATACTAATTGCGCCTACTTTTAATGCAATATTTTTTTGCAAATCTATAATAATTATACTCGGTCAATTATTTTACACAATTATTATAAACAAATATAATAAAACCATGCGCATGCGTCGAAATATCATTATCCAATAATAAATGAAAGTTGTATATGTTACTTAATCGCATTATTTAGATATAAATTTTTGTATATAAAAGCATTTATATACTTAATTGAACAAAGTATTCTTTTAGAAAAATCATAACTTTTCATTTAATTTAAAATTCTTTTTTGTGTTTTGTTTTTCTTTTTATTATAAAAATGTCTATCTATTACAAAAAAGACATAAAAATTAATGCAAATAGATAAAATGAAGAAGAAGAATAAAAATAAATATATATATATATATATATATATATGTGTGTGTGTGTGTATATATATATACATACATATATTTATATAATGTAATAAAGTTGTTTATTATATAATTAATGACGTATTCTTCGAATTTTTATTACATTTACATTCCTTACCCGACAAATTGTATTCGATTATCAATACAGCATCGAATAATTTATTTGACAAAAATTATTTATTTTAAATATTACATTTTAATTACATAATTACGTAGAATCTTGAAATATATAAATGGATCGAGCGAAGCTTAATGTTTTTAGTATTATATCAATTTCACTGCGATTAATTTAACGATACGTGACTACGGTAAATTCGCAATAATAATCGTTATTGTATCAGTAAGACGGAAAGATGAAAAATATTTAAGATTCATAAAGTTGTCCACTCTTTACTACAATTATTGGACTAACATTCCATATCACTTCATATTACGATTTTTTATTTTTTACAAAGAAAGATTCGTTCGTTATTATTTACACTGTACACTATATTTATCACTTAAGCTCATGAAGGACCAATTGTCACAATAATTAGCCACGAGTATTCAAATGAACACAATTTCTACTTATATTACTTCTTTCGTTATTAATAATGCTAATAATGCTAATTAAGGCACTCAACATTGTTTTATTAAAATTACCGCCGTCGGTATAATGTACAGTGAGCATGCGCTTGAATTATTGAAACCAAGCGAATGAGAAATACATAAAGAAAATAAACGACACAGAGGGATTTTTTTTTTATTTGATTTTTTTTATTCCCCTCTAGTAATGTCACAAAATACGCAAAGATATGTGACATTGTTGTGTGACAGCTGCGAAGGGGAAAAAGGACAGTCGTATGTCATGTAGGTTACTCATACGCATAGATTGACGACACGATTGGTGACGAAACGGAGCGAGCAAAACATTCGGTTCGTTTCCGTGTTTTGTCAATGCGCGAGAGTAAAGTTTCTATCTCCGTTCCCCGTTCAAGAAAACAGAAAATCTTCGCTTAAATTATCAATTCCTTAGCTACGCCAACTACGAAAATTTAATCTTAGAAGTAGTTTGTACAGAATAGTGTAGTACCAATTCCTAAATTCTAAACAAGTGCAACTGCGTTACTTTAATTTGCCTTCGAAAACGTATTTCGATGCATCGTTATATTAAATACGCATAATATTATTTCCGTATTATACTTTTAAATGCGTAGCCAATGAATTTTGTGAAAGAATATGTTAACATCTAAGGAGTGATGCCCAAGTATAATTGATTAATCCATAAATACATTGAAGCAATGTTTATTACTTCAATCCTGCATTGCGTTATAGTAACAAAGTCGATTAAATATTAAACTTGCAATGTTTACGTAAAGTATAGTAGGTAAGTGAGGAAATTGAGCTAAAATACTTGACATATTATATATTTGTTGAGAGGGTAGAATTTTTTTTCTTAATTACATTGTTTTATAAAATATTACAAATTTACCTATTAATTGTCTATTCGTTATTATTGGAAATTTTCGCTGTATCGCAACATTATTTATTTATTTATTTATTTATTTTAATATTAAAGTAATTATTAAATATTTGTTATTTTTCAGTTATACAAATACGTATGATAATAAAAAAATAATTGCTAGATTAACAAAGATAATGCAGTCACAGTTATCGGTAACACCTAGAAAGCTACCGGTATTTGTATTCCCACAGAATATTACATTTTATCTTGATGATCAGTCGACGCATAAACAAATTCTAACTTTATACAATCCTTACGATTTTCCAGTAAAATTTAAAAGTATGACAAATCTGTATTAATTTCTATATTCTTTTGTATATTATTAATAGTACTATTATTTTAGTTTTTTGTACCGCACCAAATAAATACGTAGTAGTAGATCCAGAAGGAACTATAAAGGCTAGATCTTGCGTTGATATTGTTGTACGACATATAGCATTATCGCTTTTGAATTGTACTATTGACAAATTCAGAATACAAATGCTAGAATATCCAAATAAACAAGTAATGATATTACCAGTTCATTTTTTATAATAAAATGAGATATTTATACTCGTTCGTAAAGAAATATTAACTTTTGTAGATTATAGGTAAGAGAGAGGTGGAAGCAAAAGTCGTTAGTGGAATCCCCGAGCCCTTAGAAAAAGTTACACCGGAACCAGAATTGTTTCAACAGATTCCAAGTACCGGAAAAAATCAGCAGTCCTATGCATTAATGACTCACAATAAATCTGTAACTAGTGAGTTACCGTTCCTTTACTAAATAACTAAACACCGATTATCACAGAACAGTTTAATACTAAATAACAAATGGTTCGATTTCTCATTTTTATAAAATTATCAGAAATCAAGAATTTAACCGACTAGAAATAAAGAAAATCTATTTAAGAATTATTTTATGAAATTTTCTCAAAAAATATAATTAATTTTTTTATTATCCACTTGCCCTAACTATATAATACTAACATTTTTTTTCTAATATAAAAACACTTTTTACAGGAGATACAAATTATGTGGCTCTATTAGCAGGTATAATCTGCATTGCTGGATTATTGTTACCTACCGAAGGCGAACGAAATTTACGAATACCAGATTACCTTCACTTGTCTATCCATTTGAAATTAATTCTCTCCTTTGTGTTAGGTAATGGTGTAACACAGCTTTTGAATTTAAACATTATTTTAATAATTTAAAAATATTGTTATAGGTATGGTGACAATTATAGTGTTAAGGCTATAATATTTAAACATTTTTACCGATTGAAATATTGGTAATGTGAATATTAAGTCTAAAGTATTTTGCATCAAATATACTTGCTCGTCTCTTAGACTACGCACACAAATGAAATGATATGCTTAATCATGGTTTTCCATGTGTTATGAAATAATATTTATTACTGACGTATAATCATAAATTAAATATTTTATAATATTTATAATTTATAAATGTCTAATAATTGTCGTTCCTCATCTTCGATGCTAGTCGATAAGGTTTGGCCTATTGGAATAAGGAGGAGCAATATTTTTATACAAGTTCGAATAGTGAAATTTTAATATTTTTTTATAACTGTAAAAGTTATAAAATATGTTCTATTTTTATTTGTACACTATTGCTTTATATGTACATCTAAGACTATTTTATAAAAATTTCATATAAAAAATGTACAAATAATCAGCCAATCAAATAAAACGAAGTTGTAATATATCAAGCCTATTCCTTTTAATTTATTGACATTTGCGTCTAATAATAAGTTATTATTTATTGAATAAATTATGTCGAAAGAAATAATTATTATTTATGTGTTAAAGGAAATTCAAATTAATTGCCTATTTTATTTCTATATCCATTATTTACAGCATTATATACAAAATGTCGAAAGTTCAATCCATTGCCTTGGAGATTGCTGTACATATAAGATTACATTCTTCTTGGTGTTGTAAGTCCAATAAAGTATAATATATTAATAACTTTTGCGCCATATAAATTGGTCTTTCTGGTACGCTGTACCCTTGCATTTGACATTACTAGCGTAAGTACATATTTAGTCGCTCAAGAAATATTTCAGTTCTCATTTTTTACGAATTGAATTAAATTGTTTTTAAAAAAAATGAAAGAATAATAATGTCTGACAAAAGATATTAAGAAGTATACATTTTGCAGTATCTTAGCCTTAGGTAATTTAGTCTTTAAATTTTATGGTCTTTAACACCTTTAAGGCTGTCATTATGTGTCTTATACTCCATTAATGCAGTGGGAGGAAGATGCAGAACACGTCGTAAAGTATCTCTGATTCTCTGAGTTGTTGAAAGATCGGATGCTGTTTTATTCCATAAACAAATAATATCTTCCTAAAAGATTATTATTTATTTTTATAGGCATGACTTAAATTATTTATCTAGACAATCATTTTATCAAGGAAGAGTAATGTACTATTGTTATCAATAATTGTTTATAAATTAAATTGTTATTGAATTAATAATTTTTAATTTAGAAGCAGCTATTAAAATCAATTACTTTTCGATCATTTCATATTATCGTGAAACTATTGTAATCAGATAAACATTTCCTCTTGTTTTGAAATATTAGGATATAAAATTTGTATACTAACTTGGAATCGTATTGAAACAACAGCACCACATATTTCCTCGCCAACCATAAATTGTTCGCCCAACATTGCTAAAATTAAGTTCTCCCAACAACGAGAGACTAAACCTTTGCGTAAACGTACGACCCATTTTCCACCTCTTTGATTAGCTTCATCCTACAGCAATAATAATTATGTTTATAAAAAAAATGTATCAATTTTTCATGTGTATTATTAAAAAATTACTCACTTCCCACATAGGTTTTATACCAATTTTGAATAAATGAAAATCTGTGTGAGTATTTAATTCCGATGGCCTTGATAAATGACTGTAAAGACCCCAAAATTGTTCAACACTTGCGAACCGTCCAATTAATTTTAAATTCTGATCATAACTTAGTAAGGCACCTAGCTTGCCTGGATTTCGCTTGCTGTACCAAAGAGCATACGCATATTGTAATTTGTGTTCGTCTGGACTAATATCTGGAGCAACCTTGTAGATAATCAGGCAATTCTTAGAAATACTACTTTTATAAAACCAAAAATTCACGAACTCATTTTATCTCTTACCAATACTTCCTTAGCCAGTTTCTGCATATATTTTTGTGGAAATTCTTCATCGCCACTCTCATCACTTGTTTTTAAACTAAAAAAAATTAAATTACATTAAAAACAATTGAAAGTAGTACTAACTTTCCACTCGCTTATATATAATTCTCTATTTGGATTCAACAGATATATTTTACGTTTAAAAAGCTTTATTTAAACATTATCCTGAAATACATTTTAAAAACTTGTATTTAATAATCTAACCTAAGAATTCAAAGAAAAATACGCAACGCTACGAATGCTATTGAAAGCCTACACATACTTACGCATCGAATTTATTAGACATATTGCACTGATAAAAAAAGCTGTAAAAGTATTATTACAAATATAATTTAAAAATTAAGGCTTTTTAAATGCAAAGCGCGTCTTTTTCTCTGTACATCAACACATACACACACGCACACATAAAATACACACGTTACTTTTACGCTGCTTAAGCGCTATACAATATGTATATAATACGCTAAATCAGCTTTTTTTATATTGTTATTTAAATAATGTCCAATTGCACCGAATCAGATTTCAAGCCAAAACATTGTTTGTACATGTATTACAATTCTTAATTTACCATAAGAAGAATTAAATTTTTTCACAAAATTTGTACTGTGCAACTTAAATTGTAAATTTTTCTACATTATTATAGGAGATATGCAGAAGGCAGGTTATACGGCAAGTAATATTAATTTAAAAAGGAAAAAAGCAAAACAAACGATAATATATAATATTCAATATTATATTATTATAAATATAATTACAATAATTGCATTTTTATTTTGAGTAATTAATGTTACATTCTCCATACCGACTTGCTCATTGCACATTACTCCTATATATTATTTACTTTAATTTTTAAAGCGTTAAGCTCACGACCATCTAATTATCGAACTAAATTGCACTTTAACATAAAAGGCAAGAATTTATTAGACCAATTTAAACACTGCTCAATCCAACAAATTATCTTTTGTTATTGTAGAAATTCATAAGAGTTGAAATAATATAAGGAGTTTTCAATTAACATTAACGAATTTTGCCTTCCATAAAAAACATTATAGACTGTATACGACTTTTTGATTAAATTAGGGGACTAAAAGAATTAACCGATCCATTTATTGTTCCATTAAGCGTTAATATTTGCATTTGTCGAGAATATAAAAGATTGCACTTAAGCTCATATTTGTTTTTTCGCCAACGTTTGTTTGCAATAAAGTACCATACACTTACAAGATAATAGCTTGAATTTTAACGTTCAATTATGTTTCTAGATAAACTGATAATATAAATAAGACCAAACGGTGTATTTGTATGGAAATTTTGTCATAGTTCAATTGATTAGAACTCAAATGTCTAAAATTCGTTCAAAATACACTTAATGAAGTGTTATTGAATTCCAGCAAATTTATTACAAAAAAAAAAAAAATAAAAAAATAATTTAAAAATCAATGTCATAAAAATATCCGATTACAAAATCCTCAATAATTATAAATAATATATTACACATGGTAGATGTAAAAATTAAAATGAACAATGCATATTTATATTTAAAAGCTGTTTATTTTACTTAATGCTCAGGTCAATTTGTCGACTGACTAAGTAGGCATGCACACACTCAAAACATTATGTAACATTAAATTTAAGTTCAACTTCACATGTAAACATTAATTAATTGTTATAATAGGCAATCGTTGTAAAAACTATTTGGAACAAAGACATCATGCATACCTCGCATGATACCTCCAAGTGATTATTTGTTGTGAATTATAAAGTGATGAGATAAAATTTAATCTTTCTTTTTCCATTCTTCTACATAAATTTATATTGAAATTCTTAATAACCATAATTAAAAAATTATCCATCTTTATAACTATATAATAAAATTTAAAAAATCATATTAAATATTCTAACTATCATCTATACATTATCTATTTTATAAATAAAATCATACGTTTACGAGAGCACCTATACTTTTACGTAAGCGATAATTACCAATGTATTACGTACTGCAAAAGTTTCGTACACTTAATTAAATTAAATAAAAATATTACTCTACTTAGAAATTAATAAAAAGTACAAAAATAAACTTGGGAAATGTTAAGAAATCGATAATAAACTAAATTACATATTTTAATTTTACTTTTATGTAGATTCAATGAAATTTATATATTTCTTTTGCACAAATTAATTACGATAATTTTGTTTTTAAAAAATACATAAATTAAATAGTTAATTGTTTTATAAAAATAAACATTTTTCTATCATTTTTTCTACGCTCGTTTTTGAAGAATTGTAGTAATTGGATTTTTTTAAATGCATCAAAATACAAATGTAAAAGTAGAATTATTGAAATATATTAATTATTGAACTTTTATAAAATTACATACTTACTTTTATGGTGTGTTATAAGATATTTTAAAAATTAATATAATTATTTAATACGTATTTCCAATACTTGTGCCAACGAATCCAGATTATCAATATAAATTGGTAACAGCAATTTTATTTTATTATTTACAAATTTACAAATATTTAGATGCAAGAAAACGTAAAACTTAATTTTCAAAATAAACAAAGAATAAAAAAAGATAGCAAATATTGATAATATTGAACATTATGGTTTTAAGTGTTAAATAATAATAATGCATACAATTCCTCTATCTTCTCAGAATTAATAATCCACTTATCCAACAATACAGCAGTATACACGTAATATTTCTTAATTAAAAATCACTAATGTAAGAGCTTTAATTAAAAATAATATGTTCATATTTATCCAAAAATTTTATTATGAAATTTTTTATCAATCTTATACGAATCAATAGGACATCATTTTATTTCTGATTAAATATATTCGTAAACCATTAAACATTTCATAAGATAATTTTGTAAGTTTGATAATTTTGTAAGTTCATAAAATATTGTTATACAATAGGAAAACAATAAGAATTAAAAGTTCCCTTTTTTCCTTTTTAAATTTTCATATAATTTTTAATATGGAACACATACCTTAATGCAAGAAAAAAAAAAAAAAAATTCGTTATTGGAAATGTGTAAAATCCCTTCTTATTTCAAGCTTTTATAGAAATTAAAACATTTTACATATCATTTACTACTATTTATACGTATTTATAAATATCAACTTCGATAAATAAAAATTGATCAATTTTTAAGTTATAAAATTTCAAATAATAAATCTGAAAATAGAGATGTACATTTATATTGTAAAATTTAGTTAAAGTTGTTAGATAATCAATTTCAAAATCGCTTCACTGAATTTCACATATTTCCTTTTAAAAATTAGATTAATTACATATTTTATTTCAGAAGCATAATACTTAATTTTTAATGTAAAATCAGATTTACAAAATTTGGAAAGAAATTAAATAGATTTACGTTAAGCATAGTAATATTATTTGAAATATTAGGTTATTTACTTTCACCAAGTTTATATGCTGTTCACAAATTATGAGCATAGTTTTATTAATTTTCATATAATAAACAAATTTATATTGTGTAAAAAGAAAATGCATACATCATTCATTTTTTAATTGAATAACTTGATTTGCCAGTCTCAGAGGAAATTAAAACAATAAAATTTATAATATTTATTGTATAAGTATTATCAATCCCAAGATTTTACTCTCTTATCGGGTTCAAGAACAGACCAATTGGGAGAAATCTTTTCCTTTGTTAACCAGTTGAAATCGTCGATAGAATTCCAGTTATTGATCTTGGGATTCAAACCCGCTAACTTAAAATGATTCATTTGATCTTCATACGTCCAATTATAAGGAGCGACAAAGATTTTGGTAGAATCCTCTATTATTGCTCTGCTTGTTATATGCAAATATATAGTACAATTAGTAGAAGTATGCAATCTAAGTTGCTGGCATGCAAAGGCAAATTGAGAATCATGGCAGTTATCCACTAAAACAGATGTCGTCACTGGTCCAATCAAAACCGTACATTGTACAAGGCTAACCATGTGAAGCGTATTTGGTGTTCCATATACTCGCACCGTACATCTTTTTAAGTCAGAGAGCAGCACATCATTTTTATTCACATTTTCAGCATCCAGTACTAACTTTTCATCAACTTTCCCTAATAACATACATGTGTTATCGCCATATCTATTACAAATTTGTTTATTGTTCTGTTTTCCAACACCGTTTGTTGCAATACTTTCAGCGATCTTCAAATCTTTCAAGTCATCCGTTACATCGCTCGATTGAACCGACGTATTAAATACTCTACGATTCTTAAATCCAAATTTTTTTCTCGGTATAAGTTTAGTTTCCAACTGAGTTGCATCATTTTCTAAAATTTGAAGGGTATCTTGTGCTCTTCGTAGATCGTAAGCTTTAAGAAATATTTTTGAATCAAATAAATATGTTTTTAAGATTATTATTTCACTCTGTACATTGTCAAAAATTTTTGATAATTTTGAGTCTGGAACAGATTCTGTACTATCTAACCAGTCCTTAATAGTTTTACACCTCGAATAAAATATATTTTTAAAATAACTCAATTGTTCTGACTCCACAATAAGCTGTTGCTTTTCCTCTTTGCGCTTTTCAATTATATTCTTACGCTCTCTGTCTCTTCTGCATATTCTCTCTAATAAACCTTCTTCGCTTGGTGTACTAGATTCCATTATATTTTTATTTCTGTAAAATATGTCTTTTATTGAAGGTTATTTTATGAAATAATGATTGTTATTAATAACTCAAAAACTTACATTATTATTCGTCTTGTTTAGGAAATTGTTATCTTTCAATTTTAATTATATTTTTTTCAATTATTCCTATAATATTCACTAGTTGTAGACTATCTATACTATTCTTGGTTCTATTGAAGAAGAAATATTGCAAAAATGCCATAAATAATTTACATTTATCGTAAAGGCTTTTGTTTATACCAAAATTTTTGGTCTTCAAGATCCATGTTATAACTTGGATTACCAATTTTTCTAATCGTATGAAATTGCTTTAAAATAGCTGGAGCTTTCTTATTTATATAATGTCGAAAATCTATTGAAACATATAAATTATAAAAATTAAATATGTTCTTCAGATATAAAAATATAGGTTAATTTATTTTCAGAATTAACCAAATACTTTATACAAAAAAAAAACAAGTATTTTTAGAATGAAATTAAAAGGAAAAAAAAAAAAAAATATATATATATATATATATATATATATATATATATATATATATATATATATATATTAAAATGTCAATATTCTAGAAAAATTACCAAAATTATGACACCGAAAAAAAATAATCACGTTTGCTGGAATATTTTTTTCTACATTCACTTTATCTAAAAATTCTTTGTACGTATATGCATAATTACAATTTACATCCAAAATAAATTACACTTTAAATTTAAATATGCAAATTTATATGAAATACTGGCGAGCATTAATCCCAATTGCGATTAATACTCGATTATTGCAGGAAAAATGGTAGAGTTAATGTTAATATAAAGTTAACCTCAAAATCCGAGCTCGAAGCAAATAATCGAAGGTACAAAATTCGCACACAATAGCATTACATATGACTCACCCCGCGAATATTCCAATTGTTTATAAAAAATATAAGAGCATCCGAACAATACCACTTCCGTCACAATTAAATACTTAAAAGCCTTTGTATAAAAGCTTGTCAAAGTTTTTGGTTTCTTAACCAGCATATCTATTAATCAGTTTGAAATATGCGTGATCTCCTAATATGGAAATCACAAACTGTACAGCAGTCAGCGTCAATTATGCAGTTTTTCGCGACTGCTCGTGGTGCGAAGTTAATCACTGTCACCTAGTAACCTCGATGCTTCTCGATGTTATATCTTGTGAAAAACTAGGAGGATCCTATTACGGCATCAATGCTAAGTAACTAACTATTATAAGAGTATTCGTCAATACAGGCCAATAATATTCGTCGTAGGCACGTAATTAGTAAAAGTTCACAAAGGTTTGGTAAAGAAGTAAATCCAGTCAGATTGAATATTCGTTGGTTCGAGAATCGACATTAGAGCGAAGGACATTGAATTGTTTGTATTAAACTTAAAATGCCAATATGGATATTCTGGGAAAGTAGCGGATATATTGATTTTAAATTATTTCATTCCTATCATTATCATGCATCGAGCAATTTACAGAATATGTGAAAAAGCTTGGGTTATTTAAATAATAGGGAATGGTAAGTGCTTGTTAAGCATAGACATGACCATATCTGACACGAGTAATACATGAGCAATTTTCAATAATTAAAATTTGAAAATAAATTTATTCATTCTGTGACTGTTGGATGGAAAATTTTCTCAAAATTATTTGGTAAAAATCTTATATTAATTAAGTAATAAAAACGAGCAGTTAGCATTAAGGCATTATTTTCTGCGCAATTTGATGCATTTGATTGACATCTCTCTGAGTTTGCAGCAGCAACAAAATCGTTAATAAAAGAATAATTAGATAAACTATTTTATAAAACTATGTGAATTTAGAAGTGAAAAAACTTACCAATTTTTAAAATTCACCCAATCCATTATGACAAAAAAAAAAAAAAGTATAAATTCCTATAATACACAGCGCAAGTACTTCTTAACAAAGAACCTTTAATTTTTTTTTAATTTATAATTTACGATTATTTTTTTTTATTAATAATAAAGAAGCTATATGCGATATAGCAATAACTAAGTCGATTTAAAAGATAAAACAAAAATTTATATATTCAGTGCCTCGTACAACATACACGCACGCGCGCACACACGCACGCACACACACACACACACACACACACACATTTATTTATTCTACATATTTTATTGAAATTTTTAATTTTTAATCTCCAATCAAAGCACTTTTACACTGCATTACAATTGAAAATTGTCAATTAAATTTATAAATATGTATCTTTATTTTACCATTTTGTAAATGTAAGTGTAAATAATAATAATAATAATAATTAATAAATAGATAAGACAGATTTTAATTACTACTATTTTTAGATAGCAATTATGGTAGTGTCGGCATTATTTATTTAAACTTATAATATACAACGATGCTTTGTATTTATTTTTATCTTATTTTTTCAGTCTCAATTTTCAAATATCATCGACGTCCATTCATCTTTAAATTGTAAATTATTATTATTTAAATAACTAGTCATAAATCAGTATTGCTTGAATTTATCAATTTCTTACATATATCATTAGTATATGCACGTAATTTCCGGGCATTCTTTTTATATTAGTTTTGCGTTTACTTTTTTCATTAACACATTAGATAGAAATTGACACCCGACAAGCGTCGATAGATTTTTCGTGACCAATCTATCGTGACCATTAAATAAATGAGAATTCCATAATAATATTCATAACTTTTAAAATTGAAATAAATATTGGTATGCTTCATATTTGTTTTATCTATTATACAAATACAAATACATTCAAGTTGATTTTCAACTATCTATATAATATTGATAATTATTAATTCAAGTTTTACAAAATGCTGCACAACTCGCGTACTATATAATTATTAATAATACATATACGTCGCGGTAATTTACAAAGCGAAATTTTACAAAGCCAATCAATAATAATCGTCTGGGCCAATGAGGTTGCTATATATTACAATATTATTATTTAATTTTCATTACATATTTTTTACAGTGTCGGTGATTTTCTTTTTCATTTTCTAGCGCATAACAATTATCTTAAAGTTGCTTGTTATAATCGATAATTCTTTGTGTTAATAGTTAAATATAGTACATTAGTAGTAGCTCATTATTTTTTACTATGTTAATATTGAGATTGAGATTGTATATACTTGTGTTATAAGTTAATTCAACACTGTATATTATTTAATAGGAAATGGTTTGCGCTACTTAATATCTTTTTCGCCTTCCTCTAAAGCAAACGTTAAAAGCGCTAGACGACGAGGAAGAAATAGTTAAATAATTTTTTTTTTTTTTTAATCGATTATTATACGATAAAATATTCATTTTTCGATAGTTACACATAGATTATACAGAATATTATATATATATATATATATATATATATGTGTGTGTGTATGTATGTATGTATACATGGAGACTGGCAAATTTTATAGTACGTTAATTTAATTTATTTAAATCAAAAGATACGGACGAGATATGATATTGATGAAAATTATTTTTCACAAATTCTAAAGGATATTGTTTTTTTTTCTTTTATTTTGTTTTGAGAGCCATATTTTATTCGTCATTATGTTTTATAAATCAAATATTTATTAAGTAATTAAGTAAATAATTACTTCAATTTGTATAAAACTACTCAAATGCTTACACTTACACTTAATGGTTGGTATTAGAATAGTTCTGTAGCAAATATATACGTTCTTTTTAAATAGATCTATCGAATTAACAAAAGTATTTATTGAAAACTTTATACAATATAAAAATTGATTTATATTTTACATTTGTCAGAGTATTTTCAAACTAGAACTGCCATCTAGTACTTATTGAAGAATAATAGAGTATGACATAAAAAATATGGCTTTCGTGGCATTAGAATAATTATAATTAATGTTTTACAGAAAGTTTTATGAAAATGTCGATCGATTTTGTAAATGCAAATTTATTAAAAAAAAAAACAAAAAACAAAAAAAACAAAAAACAAAACAAAACAAAAAACAAAAAAAAAAACAAAGTAATACATTAGTATAAATTTTGAAATTATTAATAGACACGATTCATAATCTCGACGTAATTTTGAAAATTATAATACAGTCTCCAGTGCACAAATGAACGGAAGAAATCAAATTAAATGGTAATACAATATCATATTATAATGATAATCGAACAAGTGATGATAATTAAATAAAAATCGAAATATATGGGGCAAAAATTAATAATACGATGCTGTAATCAAATACACAAATCGCGATATGTATGAGAGTCGGGAAGACTTTCCATACTTGTTATTCTTTTCCTTTTTATTCGTCGCCTAAAATTATTGGCTAGTTCGACAAAGTCTACCTTCCACAATCAGATTAATAATAGCATTGCTTTACTAGTTCTATCAGCACTGAAACATATTCACAGTAACAGCTACGGATAAACAAAAATTGCTGGCTTTTGCACTGGCTGAGTGCACTTATTAATATATCATCGATTTACTCAAGAGTAGTCAGAGTAGTCGCCTCAGCGATCCCATACTCATAATACAAAATACGCTGCTGACATTAAAATTATTCTTGCCAATGATTATTCGATAAGACATTATTGGCCCCGTCATTAGAGCACGAATATAATGGTGAATTTATTTCAGACAACTTCCATTATCCACGTTGTCCTTATTTAGTGACGGCAAACCGAAGAGAAAATATGGAAATGAAAATGCGTACGATACATCAAAGGCTGGATCATAAAAACACGTTGATATAAGTTGAAAATTAAACGAACGGGACAATATATTATTCTGAAATTTACGAAAATATTATAATTATTCTTGCTTTCAAAAATGCTATGATAAATACGAAACTGACACCACAACATTCTATATCATATGGCAAAAGTATTTCACGCAACGTGATTGTCGAATTGCCTAGCGTATGAGTGAGATGATACGCGCACCACACACTGTGTTACCAATAATGTTGACGGCCAATTGTATTGTTAAATCAATTTCAGTACGGCATAGCGAATCGATTAAAAATTCTTCTGTCTTTATTTTGAACATAATTAACAGTGCAGAGGACAACTTACTAATTCGATCATTCGCTTCCAATAACCTTCCATCTCGTTACAGCATTAATTCGTTAAGCATAAATTAAAGAAAAAACAAAAAAACAAAAAAGAAAAGCAAAAGCAAAAAAAATAAAATAAAAGAAAAAACCAACCAAATATTAATTTCAAGGATAGAATTTTTCATTAAATGCTTCGTATCTCATAACAAACTGAATCCAGAGACTATAAGCATTGATTAAAAAATTTGTCGAACTTAGTTTAAGGCACGAGTTTTCCAAGTGGGCAAATAA